TCTTCCAAGGGCTGGACCGAGACGCAAAACTTCATCAAGTACGGAGTCCTGGAAAGTGAGGAGCCCCTTGTCCCCATGTTCCCCTGCCGCCCCTGAGCATGGACGGGGCAAGCAGGGAAGAAATCGAAAGCTACGGTCCCGCTGTGTTGCCTCCAGGAGGAAATTTGGGACAGTGAAAAAGGTTTTATTTATTTATTTATTTTTATTTATTTATTTGATTTGTCAATTGTTTACAAGATAATAAGGTTGGAGCCATTTAGAATTAAGTGAAACGTGAGAAACCTCTTTCCAGGAGATGCCTGCATCAAAGCATCAAGTTAAGCCGTAAATGCTTTGTTGATTCGGGTATTATTCTGTTTTCATTGAATGGTGGTTTGTTGGGTTGTCCCAAACGTGCTTTTTCAAGAGGCAACTGGACTTTCTTGTTTTTCTTAGAAGACTTTTGCTTCTCATCCAAGACGCTTGGGGGGGAATGGATGGATGTACCCTCCTTGCAGACAGCTGGTCATTTGCATTCTGTTAGCTAGTCCTAAAGGCCACCTGGAGTTGTGTCTTCAGAGTCACCTGAGTGGTGCAGAAGGGTGTGGAGTCTTCCTGGAACTGTTGAGAAGTCTTGTGTGTTAGACTGGAGATAGATGATGATAGATTATCCCTCCCCCTCTATTGAGAAAGGGCTGTTCAATTTTGACATCTATGGCCTCTTTGAACCCTCTTTCAAACCAGCAGTGCTCTCTGCCCAAAATGTGCACTTTCATGTTTTGCCTTTTAAATGCAGATGGTGTCAGGTCCCATATATTTGTATTGGGGCGCTGGTATTCTGGTGGAAGGGAAGAGGATTGGAGGGAATCTCTATATGAAGTTTCTTTTTCCATTTCCTGCTTGGAGAGATGTCTATATGAATTTTGTTTCCTGCATTGCTGTGCTGTGGCAGGGGTTTTGTTTGCACTGCTTTAAATTGCTGTTTTTTAAGTGAGAAGATTTAATTCCTGCCTAGATCTCATGCTATCACAAACCTTTCAAAAAAATCACCTCCTTTTGGAAAAACTTGAGTTTCAAAGAATCCTGCTTTCTTGCGAAGAGTTGGAGAGGCAAGACCTTACAGATGGACTGCTGAATCTTCTCCTGATTTATTTGTTTTCCTATGTTGTGCCATGTGTTTATGAAGTGGTTGTTTTGTTCCCCCAATGTACAGATCTGCAAATGGCGTACTGCATATACCAGGAAGTTAATCGGGAGCTGCTATCTAGAGTTATACTGGAAGTTCAAATATTGAATGATTTACCTATAAAATGGATTTAGAAAGCCACTCATCTGACTGGCTGTTTGTGACCTGAGACATTTATGATCTGAATTGTACAAAGGTTGTTTTTAACGTTGCAAGCAGCCATCAACATTATTTAAATAAGTAGGAATTAGAAAACAAGGAATGTTTTAAATTTATGCATCCAAATTTTAGTCCTTGATCAAAGTTAATGCAGAAGGTTGCTACAGAATTTTTTCTACACGCAGATATATTAGTTTACCAACTAGTAAGATTTCGTCCCTCTTTCCAGATATTGTTGGGTTCATAAGAATTTCTTATTTGGGTTTTTGTGGATGCTCAGTTAAGTTGCTCAGCCTGTATTTCTGGAAGTTTCCTTTGTTTTCCATTTCAGATATATAAGTTGGAAATCTTGCCTGGTTTACTGGATTCCAAAGTACCTTGTGAGGAAAGAAAGCTGAATGGCCTTTAGGAGATTTGGCCAGACGTCTGTCTTCTGATTAGTAAAACTTGGGAGATCCATCCATCCATTTTGGAGTTGGATTAGAGACCAGAGAAAAAATGGAGGCACAACGCCTAGCAGATGCGGGTGTTGGAAAAGACCCTCCAGTTACTCAGCCTTGGAACTGTGGAAAGAATGCAACAAGTCCTGGGGAGAAGAGCCAAGAAGAGGAAGCCAGCATTTCAGAGGTCCAATGTTGTCACTTCAGCAAAGTCCAGTTCCAGGAAGATAAGAGTCCCCGGGATGTTTGCAGTAGGCTTCACCAGCTTTGCCGTCAATGGCTGCAGCCGGAAAGACACACAAGGACTCAGATACTGGACTTGGTGCTCCTGAAGCAGTTCCTTTCTCTCCTTCCCCCAGAGATGGAGAAATGGGTGTGGGAGTGTGGAGCAGAGACCACTTCTCAGGCGGTGGCCCTGGCCGAAGGCTTCCTCCTGGCCCAGGAGTCGGAAAAGATGCAGGTATGAGAATGTAATGACTTCAGCTCCAAAGAGAATCTCTCTGAATTTGTCAATTCCCTTTTGGCAGAGTTTTCTGGGATTATTATTACCTGAGGCCAGTTTTTATTTTTATTTATTTATTTGATTTGCCAATTGTTTACAAGATAATAAGTATAAGTGTATACATAGTTGTGAATACATGAAATGGGTACATATAAGAAAAATAAAAGAAGAATAAGAGAAACAATAGGACAGGGACGGTAGGCACGTTGGTGCGCTTATGCACGCCCCCTACAGACCTCTTAGGAAAGGGGTGAGGTCAATAGTAGACAGTCTAAGGTTAACGTTTTTGGGGTTTGGGGAAGAAACTACAGAGTCGGGTAGAGTATTCCAGACATTGACCACTCTATTGCTGAAGTCATATTTCCTGCAATCAAGTTTGGTGCGGTTAACATTGAGTTTGTATCTATTGTGTGCTCTTGTGTTGTTATGGTTGAAGCTGAAGTATTCATTGACAGGTAGGACATTGCAATGTATGATTTTATATACCATGCTTAAATCAGACCGAAGACGGCGTAATTCAAGGTTTTCTAGTTCTAGAATTTCAAGTCTGGTGGCATAAGGTATTCTACAGCGAGTGGAGGAGTGGAGAACTCTTCTTGTGAAATATTTCTGGACTTTCTCAATTGTGCTAATATCAGATATGTAATGTGGGTTCCAGACTGATGAACTGTATTCGAGTATTGGTCTAGCAAATGTTTTGTATGCTCTGGTTAGTAGTGTGATATTACCAGAGAAAAAGCTACGTAGGATTAGGTTAACAACTCTTAATGCCTTTTTGGCTGTGTAGTTGCAGTGGGCTTTAGCACTTAGATCATTAGAGGTGAGTATTCCAAGGTCCTTTACAGAGCTTGGGTCATCAACAAGATCTTGACTATTCAGCTTGTATTTTATTTTCTGATTTTTTTTGCCAATATGTAAAACAGAGCATTTATTTGTTGAGATTTGAAGTTGCCATTTGTTTGACCATTCTGATACATAGTCGAGATCTTTTTGTAGGGTAGCAGTATTGTCTGTGGTGTTGGACAGCTTTACATCATCAGCGAAAAGAACGCAATTGCTCTTAATATGATCGCAGAGGTCATTTATGTAGAGTATGAAGAGAGTTGGTCCTAGAACACTGCCTTGGGGGACACCACTATTGACAGGTACAGAGTTTGATAGGACGCTCCCAATTTTGACCATTTGTTGTCTGTTTGCCAGGAATGCTTCTATCCAGTTATTCAGTTGTCCAGAGATACCATAGGATTTTATTTTTAGGAGTAGTTTGTCGTGTACCACTGAATCAAAGGTTTTACAGAAGTCTATGTAGATTGCGTCTATTGCTTTGCCCTGGTCGAGTTGTGTCGTCCATATGTTTTTGCAGTGTAAGAGTTGCAGATTACAGGATAGGTTTTTTCTGAAACCAAATTGTTTATTGGAGAGTAGGTTGTTTGTCTCTAAGTGGAGGATGATGGATTGGTTAATAATTGATTCCATGACTTTACAGTTGTTCCATTTTTTCTTCCAGAGGATGTGTTTGGGGAAATTCTTCCATTCTCTTCCTAATTTCGCAAATGGACATTTGGGTCTGCTAGTTTAAAGGTGCAGTATGAAAATTCCTTAGTGTCTTTCTTTGTTTCTCATCTCACATCATGTCCAGAAATCCTTGGAAGCTATGACAGAGTATCCCAAGGGGAGGCAAGATTCATTCAAACCTTCTCAAGAGCTGCTGTTGAGGGAGCACTTACGCAAAGATGGAAGTCAGGACACCACACCAGGTAAGAAAAGCTCTTTCTGTGCGATATGAGATTTCAACATTTAGCTGATTCTTTTGCTCCTCTTGATTGGAACGTCTGTAACAAATCTCCTTCCACCATTTTTTCTCTTTCTCACAGAGAGTAGAAAACTGTCCCTGGAATTTTTTGAATCACCTCGTCTTTGTGGTGGAGCTGGAGGATTGGCTGAACCGCTATTTCAGGTAAGGAGAAGAAACATCGGAAAAGATCCATGAATCTTGAAAGGGTTTCATTTGGTTCTAGAGTTCAATGTAATAAATTGCTGTTTCTAAATAACATGAATATGATATTAGATTCAAAATTCATATTTAGTTTAGCCTATTTTTCCCTTCTTAAGGGTCTTTTCCCACTTTCTCCATCATTTCTGCTTCACAGATTTATTTGACCAGACTATTGTCAGCATTCAATAGTCATTCATGTCACTCTTCCTCCCCGGGTCATTCTCACATATCATTACAAAAAATGCTTTTTTTGTTCCCTTTTCAAAAGCATCTTTGGGACAACCCTGACCTTTTGATTTAGAATCTCCATAGACATATCCTGTTACAAACTCTGCTGACACCTTCAGCTAGGTGTGGAGTTGGGTTACATTTGCCCCTCAGTGGATAAAGTAACCCATTGGCAAAAATGCCAGGTGGGTATTGCCAGTAATTGGCATTGCACATCCTAGGAAGAACTGGAACCACTGATAACTAATGAATTTGAGACCCAACTAACAATTGACCAAGAAAAGTATTTTAGTTGGCTACACGGAAAGGCATTCCACATACTTCCAACATGATCGAATGGGCTTCAGTTGTGCCATCAGTCAAAAGCAGTGAGATCTCATTCTGAATACTGCACAAGATGCCCATTTTGTTCACTGGATCTCTCTCCTTGAATTGACATGATCTGTTAAAAGGAAAACTTGTTTCATTGTTCAGGGTGGTGTGTCTTTTGAGGACGTGGCTGTGTATTTCTCCAAGGAGGAGTGGTCTCAACTGGATGCTGACCAAAAAGAGCTCTATAGAGCAGTCATGCTGGAGAATTCCAGGAATCTGGCTTCTCTGGGTAAGAATCCCTATGTCTGCTCAGAAACATAGAAATGACATGGGGTCTGAGAGAGTGGCTTAGATTTTACTTAAAAATAGGTTTAGGGAAATAAGTGGTTAAAAACATTTATTTATATCTTCCTTTTATTTTTTGTAAATAATAAAGGCAGTGGAAAAACTCAATATTCCTTCCTCCTGCTGTTTTCCCTACAACAGCAATCCTGTGAGATAGATGGGTTGAGCAGAGGGAGACTGACCCAAAGTCACCCAGCCAGCATTCATCCCTAATGCTGAACTAGAACTCACTGACCTAGTTTCTAGCCTTGTGCCTTAACACTTTGACCAAAGTGACTTTATGGAAGAAGGAAATTTATTGAAAGAAAATTTTGAAAACTGCATAGCCTCTCTTTTTATATGGATATGTTTGTTTTAATGCTTTCTGCTTATAAAATATTACATATTCATTTCCATGCCGCAGAAGAATCTGAGGGATAGGCTGCAGAGATGGTGTGGCTCTCGTGAGCAAGGTCCTGCTTACTCCTGAATCTCATCTCTAGGCTCCTGTTGGCCCTGAGCTGCTATAACCAAGATTGGATGGGTCCAGAGTAGAATGTCCCTTTTCCCAGAGGTGCTCTTTTGTGTTCAACATCAGCCTAATTGAGGGTGGGGAGCTATTGCCACGCAGAATTTCCCCTTGGCATTCAAAGATTCTGCTCTGCAGACAAGTGGGGATGAGACTTCCAATGATGTTGAGGAGCTGGTAGGAATGTTGTTGACCCAGCATGATACCGTGTCCAATGGACTTCAGGAGTTTGTGGCCCCATGGAATAGTTACAGATCAAAGATTAGGTTCTGTCTTAGATTCATTGTGATGTGATCCAATCTGGTTATATGAATAACAGTAGGGGTACATTTGGAAGAGTTTCCTTGCTAAAGTCGTAGTTTGGAATCATCATGTTTGCCAGTAAATCAGCCAAAATATATTGATGATTCTTTGGCTAAATTTCAGAAGACAAGTTTTGATTGTTCTCTTATGTTTTCATTGTTTTCATTTTTCTTTTTTAAGGCTATAATGGGCAGAAGAATAAGAATTGTAAGGAGAAATGCCAAGCGATCCATTTGAAAGAGGGGAAAGAGAAGCGATATCAATGCATGGAGTGTGGAAAGATGTACACCCAAAGCAGTAGTCTCAATTCCCATAAGAGGATCCACACAGGAGAGAAGCCATATCAGTGCACGGAATGTGGAAAGACCTTTACTCGCACTAGTAGTCTCAATTCGCATAAGAGGATCCACACAGGAGAGAAACCATATCAGTGCATGGAATGTGGAAAGACCTTTCCCTGTAGCAGTCGTCTTAATTCCCATAAGAAGATCCACACAGGAGAGAAACCATATCAATGTATGGAGTGTGGAAAGACCTTTCCCTGTAGCAGAGATCTTAATTCTCATATGAGAATTCATACAGGAGAAAAACCATATCAATGCATGGAGTGTGGAAAGAGCTTTACTTTCAATAGTGGTCTTAGTTACCATAAGAGTATCCACAAAGGAGAGAAACCATATCAGTGCATGCAGTGTGGAAAGACCTTTCCCTGTAGCAGCCGTCTTAATTGCCATATGAGGATCCACACAGGAGAGAAGCCATATCAATGCATGCAGTGTGGAAAGACCTTTCCCTGTAGCAGTGA